TGCATGAAAAGCCTTCTGCTCTAGCAGTGGGACAGTTGCTCCTGGCAGCAGGCACTACCAGGCGGCGGCATGGCTTTGGAGCAGGGAACTGTGCGCTGTGGTGGCGGCCCTGCGCTTCCTCAGCTAGCACGGCACATCCATGTGTAGTGAGGGAAGGGGCCCATGCCCAGTGCTGAAGAAGGATTCAGCTGACAGTCTCATTGGCTTTTGTACCTGGCAGTGAACATTTTTGTCTTTTTGCTTCTTTAGAGCATGTGCGTGCACATAACTTTGAGTTCAGTTGTGATAAACAGGAAATTTTAAAATTGCAAGTGTTTAAGTGGATTCATATGACTAACAGAACAGCAGGTTACTTTATTCATCCCTTACCAAAGAGGTAGCAGCCTACATAATTCAAGAGAAAATCCTAATTCTGTTCTCACTTAACATTCATTATCCTCCATCTTTCCTTGATTTCCTTAGAGGCAAATGTGTGACAATGTTGAAAAACTGTACAAGTTGCATGGTCTCACTTTAGAATGTGTAAACAGCATCTTATTTCATGACGCATCTTTTTCATTATCATTGCCTGCCATAATGCGGCATTTTGCTTTTTTTGTACGTAGCTTTAATGAAAGGTCTTACATTGTTTCCATTTTCTCTCAAAACTATGTAATTCAGGTTGTGATTGCAATTTACAGAAACAAAAAGCAAACAAAAGCCACTGGGTCATCCAAAAAAGGCAATCCTTGCTCTAAAGGTTAAAGCAGACTCAAAACAGTGCAGATGGAATACCTCAATCACTCTTAAGCAGGGACACAGTCTACAGATTGTAGTGTAAAAGTGCATGCTAAGACTATGTAAGAGAGGTCCATGTTATTCTGATTTCCCAGTAGAAGCAATGACTCTGCTTCCTATTGTGTAGGTCAAATTATCTTCTTTTAAGATGGATCTGGCATTTGCTGACCCACTCTGCTCCACTGAGCCCATATGCAGTTCCACCAGTGGGTGACATGCCAGTCATAAGACCTGCAGTGTTCAATTCACAGTTGGGACATTCAAAGCCCTTTCCTTCTTATTTGTTGTTCTCTCTTTGGGTGAAAGAACCCAAAGAATTCCAGTGTTGTGCAAATGGAATTCTGCCCTCTTCTCTAAATCCTCCATTCTCTTGAATCTGCTCTGGAGAGATGTGATCAGCAAGCAGGGGTCTCACAGATCAATTTGGCTACTAGAGTTTGGACCAGCTAGAAATTCCAGATGCTTTCCAAGAAACAGCCCTACATAGTTGCAGTAATTCCAGCTCATATTAGTCCTTTGCTTTCCTGCTCAAGAAACTTTATACATTAAGGCATGCCAAATCTATTTCAGCTGGAAGACTGAATTCAGTTTCAGAAAAACTTCTGAGGCCACATTCCACTAGTGGGCATGGTCAAACATGCCAGAATATTTTAGCTTAAAGTTCTTACTGCTGGTAACTAAATCTTACAATCGAAATGTCAACTTTTTAGAATGGGAGGAAAAACTGAGCATAAGACAGGAAGACAACAAGTGATTGAGAAGGAATGGGAACAAAGTAAACGGGCATGACCAACTGGGGACTACAACACCTTCTAGAATTAATTCCAAATAGATTGGACTGGAATGGGGGACTGGAATGCTAAAGTAGGAAGCCAAAAGATAACCAGAATAACAGGAAAGTTTGGCCTTGGAGTACAAAATGAAGCAGGACACAGGCTGGTAGAATTTTGTCAAGAGAATACAATGGTCATAGCAAACAAACAATTGAATGCAGAATTCCAGAGAACAGCTAGAATAGATAAGAATGCCTTCTTAAATGAACAGTGCAAAGAAATAGAAGAAAACAATAGAATAGGGAGGACCAGAGATCTCAAGAAAATTGGAGATATGAAGGGAACATTTCATGCAAAGATGGGCATGATAAAGGACCAAAATGGCAGGGACCTAACAGAAGCAGAAGAGATTAAGAAGAGGTGGCAAGATTACACAGAACTATACAAGAAAGAGCTTAACGTCCCTGATAACCACGATGGGGTGGTCACTGACCTCGAGCCAGACATCCTGGAATGTGAAGTCAAATGGGCCTTAGGAAGTCTGAGCAACAACAAAGCTAGTGGAGGTGACAGTATTCCAGCTGAGCTATTCAAAATCCTAAAAGGCGACATAGTAAAAGTGCTACACTCAATATGCCAGCAAATTTGGAAAACTCAACAGTGGCACAGGATTGGAAAAGGTCAGTTTACATTCTGATCGCAAAGAAGGGCAATGCCAAAGAATGTTCAAACTACAGCACCATTGCACTCATTTCACATGCTAGCAAAGTTATGCTCAAAATCCTACAAGCCAGGCTCCAGCAGTAAGTGGACCGAGAACTACCAGAAGTACAGGCAGGATTTCGAAGAGGGAGAGGAACTAGAGATCAAATTGCCAATATACGCTGGATCATGGAGAAAGCTAGGGAGTTCCAGAAAAACATCTACTTCTGCTTCATTGACTATGCTAAAGCCTTTGTTGTGTGGATCACAACAAATTGTGGAAAGTTCTTAAAGAGATGGGAGTACCAGACCATCTTATTTGTCTCTTGAGAAACCTATATGCGGGTCAAGAAGCAACAGTGAAAACTGGACATGGAACCACTGACTGGTTCAAAATTGAGAAAGGAGTTCGGCAAGGCTGTATACTGTCGCCCTGTCCATTTAACTTATATGCAGAGCACATCATGAGAAAGGTGGGGCTAGATGAATCACCAGTTGGAATTAAGATTGCTGGGAGAAATATCAACAACCTCACCTATGCAGATGATACCACTCTCATGGCAGAAAGTGAAGAGGAACTAAAGAGCCTCTTGATGCGGATAAAGGAGGAGAACGCAAAGGTTGGCTTGAAACTCAACATTAAGAAAACTAAGATCATGGCATCCGGTCCTCTCACTTCCTGGCAAATAGATGGGGAAGAAATGGAGGTAGTGACAGATTTTATTTTCCTGGGCTCCAAGATCACCGCAGATGGGGACTGCAGCCAAGAAATTAAAAGACGCTTGCTCCTGGGGAGGAAAGCTATGGCAAATCTAAACAGCATACTAAAAAGCAGAGACATCACCCTGCCAACAAAAGGGCATATAGTCAAGGCTATGGTTCTCCCAGTTGCAATGTATGGCTGTGAAAGCTGGACCATAAGGAAGGCTGAGTGCAAAAGGATTGAGGCCTTTGAATTGTGGTGCTGGACGAGACTCCTGCAAGTTCCTTGGACCGCAAGGTGATCAAACCGGTCAGTCCTAGAGGAGATCAACCCTGACTGCTCCTTAGTAGGCCAGATACTGAAGATGAAACTCAAATACTTTGGCCACCTAATGAGAAGGAAGGACTCCCTGGAGAAGAGTCTAATGCTGGGAACAATAAATGGCAAAAGAAGAAGGGGCTGGCAGAGGATGAGGTGGCTAGATGGAGTCACTGAAGCAGTTGGTGTGAGCTTAAGTGGATTTCGGGAGATGGCGGAGGACAGGAAGGCCTGGAGGAATGTTGTGCATGGGGTCACGATGGGTCGGACACGACTTTGCAGCTAACAACAACAACAAGTGAGCTAAATTTGGCCTGAAAGCTTCAGGTTCAACACCACAATATATACAGGTTTTTTTATAAATTGTGAAAGTAATAGCAATCTAACCAATATTGTCAAGGATAAATCTGAAAGGATTTGTTTAGTAAACTGTAAACAGAGTAAAAAATGTTATACTGCCAAGATATAAATGCAGAAGCAGAACTACAGCCCATAATAAAGTGATACTTCTATGTTCATCAAAATATCTACTACTTGTTTACCTGTGCTAGATGTTTGAAATTATCCCAATGTTTTTCCAAGAAAGCAATCATACGAATTTCTGTTCAAAGAAGCAGCACCAAATGCTGTTGGATTTTGAGTACTGCTACCAGGATTGTTTCTGTCACATGTAAAAGCTGAACTCTTCCATAGCTTCAATTTGCTCCAGTAAGGCATAGGCAAGGAAAGATTTTGGTAGTTTGTGCCTATTACCAATACTTTTAAAAAGTTTTAAAACAACAAATTTCATTTCTCTATTTTTATTTTAAATTTGCATTTGTGTATTCTAAAACATTACATCTTTACAGAATCCAATACATTTTATGTCCATTGAATCTAATATAACTAATATTCCATATTTAAAAGTATGCTACTTAGTCTTAAAAAAGAAAAGCTGTCATATAAGCCTAATTTTCAGCTTCCATTTGGGTGAGTGGCATATACGTTTCAACATTTGTATTTAAACCAAAAGCAGTATTACAACAATGTATTTTCCATTAATACTAAGTAACAAGTTACTTCTGTAAAATCATTTATCTAACACAAAATGATCTTGCATTAGTTGTACAAAGGACAGTAGCAAGGGTGCCATAGGACCAGAAACAATTTCACTCCAAATCTGGTGGAGGCCTGCCCATTTTTCCCAGCCCCCAGTTCCACATTGTTCACAAAGTTACCCCACCCCTCCAGAAAGCTTCTTTGGAATCATAGTTGGAAAGGGAGTGTAGGAGTGGGGGAAGCTTTCTTTCCATTAAGGTTCTTCAGCTAATTTATTTTAGGTTCTCATCTAATATAATTTTCAATTTAATTCAAGCTACAAGAAACATATCCTAGCCAAAAAAAAAATGGGAAGATGTTTGCTTCATCTTTCAGCCTCTTTATAGCTAGAAATACAACTATATATATGTGAGTGTATTTTTTGTAAGCTTTATCCTGATGAATGGTAGCTCATTTTATTTTTAAAGAAAGAGAAAATAAGGATGAAGCAGCATGATGTGCCCCAATTAGAAGTGAACAGAATGTGCTACAACATAATGAGAAATCTGTGATGACTAATGCCACCTAGGTTATTTGGAACAAGAAAGGCATTCAAGTTTGGCAAGCTGCATAAAGCTTCAATTCTGGAGGATGAGGTGATTAAGAGTAAGCACAAAAACTAACATAAAGCACTTGTACTGAGTTTAAAATTTCAATTCAATTATAAATGCATTTTATTGAAACATTTACATCACTGAGTATTTACATTTATCCAGTATTGTGCTTCTAAAATTGCAGTCTTGAGATACTAGAAAACAGTCCTTTCTAAATACTTGTACACAATGAAATTACAAAACCGAACTCAAGTTTGATAACTCTTTTGTTAATTTACTTTCAAAAATACATAACATGGTCAAGATATTGCTTTTTTTTAAGTTCCACATTTCTCACCAGGCCACAAGCTGAATTTTCTGGAAGATAGAAACCTTATTCTTAAACATTTAACAGTAGAGGCAAAAGATATAAAAATTAACTCAGTTTAACAAAACGGCACAGATATACCTTTGCACATTATCTGAGTATCTCTAACCAGTAGAAGGTTAAATAGCTGCTATCATATATAGATGGTTTAAGTCTTATGTTATGATTTATGAGGGATCCATCTCCCCAACTCCTGATATCACCTTGCTTAGAAGAAATAGGTTAGACGTACTTCTCCCTAAGCTGCTAATGCAACATCAGAAACTGTTATACAGAATGTAAGACAAAAGATAGGTGATAAAACTGATAAGAGTACCTGCATTTTACTCATTTCGAAAATCTGTTAAAATATTTTTAGAAGTACTGTATGAACAGAATCTTCAATGACTCTCTTCAACTCCACAGTAAAGGATTTACCTCCTCAAAGGATTGTATTTTCAGCCTTCAGGAAACTGATCAATATTCCAGGTTTTTAACAGGACAACTCTCATCCAGATTCAAAACTCTTCCAACATTAAATTATGTCAGGTTTATGTATCAATAATAACATTCACAGTAGTCATGATTTTTTCAGCCAATGTTGTGAAGAGATGCAAAACTTGATTCAACTACAGATAACCGTTGCTCTAATGCTTTCAATATTGTTTCTGCCTGTTCAGTAAAAGAGAGAGCATTTCAGTTTACAATAGAAATTAATGTATAAGCAATAAGTTCCAAACCCACGGACCTACAAGTACATTGCAAAGTAATTTGCAGGTCCTGGCCCCACGAGTAGGACCTGAGGACAAACAGAGGAACAGATCTTTTTTCCCACTACAAAAAATTTCTTACAAGTGACTGATCCTTCTAGGGGATGACAGCATGAAACTGCATGGTTTGGAACCAAATTCACACACTAAGGTCCAGCCAGTATTGTACAGAGATCTTAAGCCCTGTTCAGCTTACATACATAAGCCTATTCAGATGATGCCCAAACAGGGTATAAATGCATGCAACAGGCACAGGGCTGTGTGTGCTGACGCCTGCTCCAGCGTTCTTGCACACACTGACTCCTTATTCTGAACTTCCTGCATTGTGTAGTAAGATCTGATGGGGCTTCTACTCTCATTAGCCTGGAGATGAATATAACCCACCAATCCCTCAATAAGGAATCCTGAGAAAACAGGGTTGCATATGCATGCAAGAAATATGGAACTATGCACACTGGCCCCAAACCTTTCTCATCTTCCCTGTTGAGTTGCATGGTCTAAAGGGGAGTCCTGTTCTCATTCTTTTGCATATGGGTAGAATTCTCCACATGATAAGGGTCCCTGCTTTACGACTAAATCAGTTTAGAGATTGAACTTACTGATTTGTGACACTAATTCTAATAAATGGTCATTAATTTTTGGTATAACAGTATATACAAAGAAGCATGTCTGCCTGTTCTGCCCAGAGTTTCCTTAAGAAAATATATGAGCACATTTCTTACCCTTCCTAGTGACTCTTCTAAATTAGCACGACTTTCAAGGGTGAGAGGCTCCTCGCCAATTTCAGCTTTTTGTTCTGAGGATCCTAGAGTATAACTTGTACATTTTAAGTTATAAGTAACATAAACATGTAATAAACACCTGAAATGTATCAACTACAGAGTTAACTGCCAGTAATAGCAGGCATAAACCTTATAACATCTAATAAGTGGAATGTGCATACTGTTTACACTTGGCTTGTTCCCTCCAAATAGTCTATTGCATGAATTGAGAATCTTCACCATAAATAAAACACAACGGTGTACAACACTCAAGGACTGCAGCTTCATTGTCTCTCTGGAAACTACACCCCTGCTCCTCAACATGCCCCAGGGGCCCAGACATGGCAATAATTTTTGGGAGGCTTCCAGGAGTGCTACAAAATAAGGCAAGAATTGCCATCATACGTTGTTTTCAAGAAAAAAAATCCTGTTTTTTTGGCACTGCAAGAAAGGCTGGGGAGAGAAGCATGCAGCCCACATGTTGCCCAACAGTGGCCTGACAGCCACTGAGTCAATATTTACCTGAAAATGCAAGGTTATCTACATAGGGCATGGCTGGTGCTGAAATCTAAATGTGACCAACAAGACAAACATCTGCACCAAAATGTTCTGCTATATTCCCAGCAAGAGTGCTCTTCTACAGAACTCAGAAGAGAAGCCTTGTAGCACAATTTGTGAGGAGACAGGTTTCATGAGAAAGAGAAGGGAAATGTCCTTTTATTTCTGCACCCTCCTGAAACCATTCCCTATTGTACACAAGCTTTTTCTGTTGCATGCAAAGGGCACAAATTTGCGAATGATTGCCAGCCTTGGATGGGTTATCTTCATTTCTTTCAACATACAAAATTAAATCATCCATCTAGCTGAAATGCAGAGCAGAGCTGTGGGAAGGCAAATATCACATCTGCCTCTCTTCCCATTCTGCACTGGATGCTCATAAGCTGTCAAGTTTGGGAGATTACTGGTCTCGAGGCTGCAACTGAGTGACTATGCCCTTAAGGGGGGTAGGCATGTACAGAAAGATGAAAAAGGAATGGGGTGAGGGAAGAATGGATGAATATTCTCTTCATCAATACCTGTCTGTAGGCACAGAAAGACCAATGAGGGACAATTGTAACATAAAGCTATGTAGAAAAGAAAGTTATTTGTAACAATGGAAAATAATATTCTCAAAAGAAGCAGCAGCACAAAGAATAATGTTCTATAATTCTTTTAAAAGGAATAAAGATAAAACAGCATGACAGAATCTGTCTAGCATTTAGAGGCAGCTGTCAAGTTTTAAGAATATATACATAAGCAAATCTAAACAGAGAAAAGAACAAAAAGTGTATTTGACAAAGAAAACTATTGGTTTCTCTTACCTTTCTAGGGAATCAACATTTAAGCAAAATAGATCTCGTTTATAATCAAGATGTCTTGGGGTACATCTGTAAATGCTTCCAAGTGTCATGTTACATCCAGTGCAAAATAAGGTTTCAAGCATACTGTAAAGTAAAACATTTAATTTAGTATTTGAAAAACATTCATGTTCTAATTTGAAACTACCTAGACAAATGAGAGAAATGAGTAAGCGCAAGGAAAGACATTATTGTCTCTAACTGTTGTTTTAGCTATTTAATTTGGTGGTTACTGTTGGTGACTTAATTGTTACTAGATGTATTGATATTATATAAAGTTTATATGTTTTTTCCTGCTGTACACCATCCATTCAGAGAGCCTGTGGCTGATTAAACTGTCTATAAAAGTTTCAATAAATAAAGTATTTCATAAAGAATTAATTTTATTTTCACAACTTCCCCAAGATGTAAGTTAGGCTAAGAGATGATAGCATATTGAAGCAAATTCAATCGCCTTGTGATAGTCATGGCTCACAGGGTTTTGAACCTGTTTTCCCAGTTCTAGTCCAGCACTGTACCTATTACACCACACTCTTAATTTTAAGAATCATGTGTTTCTTCCCAAAACCCTACAACTCAAGTGCTGAACTTGTATAAATGTTCATGACGACTTGTAGATGCATGAATTCAACAAGGAAAACTGATAGGTTGGTGCCATAAGAATACGAGTAAATAGTGCCATTTTAAAAAGAAAGCTAAAGCTAGGGTCCTGATCTGACCCTAAAACCTAGGGTTCCAATCAGGCTTTCTGGGATGCCCTTTTCCTGTGATCCCCTTTTTTCCCCAACCATAATTCATTTGGTGGTATTCCAGATTTTGTGCATTTTTTGCACAATGGAATGCAGCCCACAAGAGCTTCTCTGAAATGGAATGTGGCTCTTGGTTGACACCCCTAGACTAGAACATAGTAGTGCAAGAATGACATGTCACAGTCACACAAGGCTATTGAAACTGGTGTTATTCATTAGCCACAGCAGTCAAAAGTCAGGTCATTTTACACATGGAGAACAACTTTGCTTCTCACAGCCTGTCTTGCTAAAACTCTTCCTCCCATCTAGTCTTGCCTGGCACATTACATGCCTGACAAAGATAGATAAACCAAAGCCCTGCTAAAGACGCCCTCATATCAGTTATGGCTGTCTTCTGAATTTCCTTCCAATGCCCTGCACCAAGTGAGATCCATATTATTTCACTTATATAACACTTATTTAGAAAACAAAACCAATCATACCACATCAATTTTTCAAATTGTATAAATATTTTCAAAGTTTTGTAATAGCCCTAAGTTTTCAACAGAAATTCAGTAAGCCTACAATGTGACTGAAATATTATACTCAAACAATATAAAACCTTTACCTAGAAATTTTTATTAAAATAATTGTAAATATTTTAAGAAATGACAATTCAATAGTTTGCACTTTCTTTAAAAGCTTACATTTTAAGAAAAAATTAGCACTGAAAACCTTTAACACAATTGTTAAAAGTTTGTTTATATTTTTGACAGGTACATTTATATTTACAACAGATGAATTTCCAAAAACAGTCAGCTGAAAAAAATGAAAGTGCCCATTTATATAAGGATATGTCCCAGTCTTACCCCAATATTTAGGATAAGTAACACTGAAATGCAAGATACTTTTTAAAATTTCAAAAGTCTCCCCCCAGAGTTGCTCTTTAATTTCCTTGCTGCTAAAGCATAACAAGGCCTCAATTGCCTAAAAATGCATTTTAAGGAAAATTAAAGGTCTGATCTAAAAAGGATGTATTTGCTAAACCAACATGAAGCTCTGCTATGAAACAAATCTAGTTTTCACCCTGAAGATCTTCATTGCTTACCAGCCATATTCGCCTGGTTGGTTTGAAAGTTTTTGCTCCTTGTCCACTGAGACATTAAGAGTAACACCTGAAATATAAATAAATAAATAAGAAATGGTAGAGAAAGTGTAATGACCGATTTGGACAACCAATAACTGCAGCAGCAAAACCCTTAAACGATCTTTGTTTTGGGAACGTTAAACCCAAGCAGGTCACTGAATACTGTTAAGTTCTGGAGAAGCCAAAATATTAAGATCTGAAGAAGTGCGTGAGTGAAGCTAAACCATTTCAGTGGATCCTAATTTGGCTCTTCTCCAGACGTCCTGGACCGCAAGTCCCATCATTCCTTTCTAGCCTGATGGCTGGGAATGATGGAGTTGCCATACAAGACGTCTGGAGGGCCCAAGTACTTGATAAGCGGAAGGCGCAAGCGGTGGGAAGGAAAGTCGGACTAGCGAGAAGCCCTTCCCAGATGGCCAGCCATCCTCCTGCGCCTTTCGCTCACTCTTCAGCAGGATGGAATTGGTGTCCTCGTCGTTTGTCTCCCAGCTCAGCGTGTCCCCTACGGGGCGCTTGCACCCGGCACACAGGAACACCATGGGCGGCTCCTCCTCCGCCGCCGCCGGGGCGCCTTCCCGATCACCGGGCCCCGGACTGCCCCGAGACTCCTCCACCGACAACAAACTCTCTTCCAGGGGGACCGCCGCCATTCTCTTTCAAGCCGCCCGCGCCGTACCACCTTGGCCCACGCTCCGCCCCTCTGCACGAGCACCGGAAATAATAACCGCGACGCCGGATGCCGCTCTAGCCCGTAGACAGACTAACTCCTCTCCGGAGGAGAAGGCGCGACCGTGGAGCGAGGTCGCGAGCTCCGTGCGCATGCGCCTCGCCCACGGCGCTCCGGCTAAGCGGGATATGTTCGCGGGTTCGCGCAGGGACGCTTGGGAAACGGAGTGGTTCCGCAGGCGGGCTTCCTCGACCTGCCGGACCAAGACTCGCAACATCCAACAGCCAGCGGCGAAGTGCCGGCGGCAAAGCTCTGCTGGGTGCCGGCAGAGATTTGTAGGACTTGCTTTTGTAGGACATATATAGAATCAGGACCCTAGTAATTTCTGAAAGAACTGGGAACATTTATGGCAGAAACACGTAATTGAACAATTAAGCTTACTGCCCCTTCTTTACCTCAGTGGGTATTGCGAAAGACTTTATGGAAATAAAATGGCTCTTTCTTAGGCTGTAGGCAGACTGTCCCTGCTGTCTCCAAGAGCTGAAGTTACTAAACCTTGTCAGTTTGGCCTCAAAAGCCTGTTTGAGCAGTGATGATAGCAATAGCATCACAAGCAGCAATGTTGTTTATTCCTTTTAAGCCATCTTTCAAAATACTGTTCTAGAATTTGCTTTTGCCAATCACCTGTTGTCCTCAAAGTTTACTAATTTTATTATTATTGGGTTAGTATTAAATGTTATATTGTGTTTGTATTGTTTTATATTATTGAATTTTAATACATTGTAAGCCACCCAGAGAACTTACGGCTAGTGGGATAGCATATAAATTCAATAAATGAATAAAGTTCAGAGGCTTATGGGCATCCCCATTAGTTTGCACCCTTAGTTGTTAAATTAGTGTTGTACAAATCAACTTACAAAAATATAATCTGGCAATCATTGACACATAACTGGACCAGAGAAAAGCCCTCTTTTCTAACAATCAGTATGTGTGCATGCTTGAAATGTAACTGACATCAACCAGGCATCATTCCAGAAAAAGCTAGTTGGCACTTGACAAATAACAGCAGCGCAAACAAAGAACAATTCACACCAACCCACCCCATCTTTCTCCTTTTCTCTGTAATAGCACCCCATCCTCCCCACTCCTTTGGAGCATGTTTGGTATGCAAGTGGGAAAGATCACGCCATTGTAACTTTTTACATCAGTACTCTATTGGAAAGTCTTCAACTGTGTTATGTGTAACCCTTTAATGATCAATTTATAAAAGGGTCACCTGAGAATTGCTCAGGTGAGTCATCTAGAACTATTCGTTGGCAGCTGGTTATTCTTGAGAATAAATTTTTAAAAAGAAAACTTTCCTTTGTTGTGTATTTTGGGCATAAGTACACCAAGACACAAACCATTTGGTCATTATTGGCTGAGAGCTTTTATGGGTTGCAAGTTAATTCATCAAATGTGGACAACGGAACTAGAGGCTTTCATGACAATTTTAATGTCTTTCATCCTGTTCTTTTAATATTACTTATTCCTACACCCTCTTGGATGCACACCTTAATGTGGTGAGCAGTTGTGAGAATGGCAAAAAAGCCAAGAGCAATGACACCAAAAGTGGCAGAAACGATCACTAGGCTGGTCTCCTAGCAGGGTTACACAGACACCAGACAAAGATGCATCCATCCTCTTCAGGAGTGATAGTTACAAGCAAGTGGGTCTTAGATCAAATCAATCCAGAGCTTTCCCTACAAGCAAAAATGACAAAACTGGGACAATCATGCTTTGGGCACATCACAAGAAGTCAAAATTTCCTGGAGAAGACAATCATGCTAGGGAAAGTCAAAGGCAGAAGAAGAAAAGGAATACCAACCAATCCAACATTTAGATGGATTGACTCCATAAAGGAAGGTGCAGCCCTGAATTTATAAAAGCTGACCATGGCTGTTGTGGATAGGACACAGGGCTTTCATACATAGGGTCATCATAAATTGGAAACAACGTGACTGCATGCAACAGCAACAAGGACATTAGGAGTATTTTTATCTCTCTCTGTGTTCAATCTGTACACAGAACGTAGAAGGATCACAGAAAGGAGGGATGAAAATTGGTGGAAGATACATCAGTAATTTAAGAGATGCAGATGATACCACATTATTGGCAGAAAGCAACAGTGAACTGCAATGACTCTTGAAAGTGAAAGAAGAAAGTGCAAAACTAGGAATCATGGTGCTGCAGAACAATGTGAATACCCTGGACAAGTTTTAGATCAATTTCCTGTATCACAGTGTGTCCTAGATCAAAGCAAGTCAGAACTCTCACTAGAAGCAACATTGATGAAACTGGAGCTGCTGTAAGTTCGGTATATTATTGGAAGGCAAGTCTCTCTGGAGAGGACAATAATGCTGGTAAAGTTGAAGGCAGAAGAAGAGAAGACCAGTTATGGAATGGATTGGCTCCATAAAGGAAGCCTCAGCTTTGAATTTACAAGAGTGCAGCAGGCCTCTCAAGGCCAGGACTCTTTGGAGGGCTTATGGCCATATGGTCCATAAATTGGAGATGATGATGGCATGTAACTTGAAAACAACAGCACAAATATATATTTTCTGGGTACTACAATCATTTTGAAGACTGACCACCTCCGCATTAAAGATAAAAAAGCTACTAATGGATACATATAGCTACATGCAAGCAGTTTCCATCTTCATCACATTGGAGAATCCATCGTTTACAGCCAAGTAATATGTTAAAGACAAATATGTTCTGATGAATAAGAGCTTGACAAATCAGTTTGACTATACTTCAACTGGTATTCATAATGTTAAGATACCACCCAAACTTAGTAAATGGTGAGCTTATTACCTGGAAGTAAACTGTTCAAACAGCAACAAGATAAAAGACTTAACATTTGCAGTGGCCACCTGAAGTTCACAATTAAGGGTGCTGCAACGTGTTGTCACTGCAGCCCATCCTATAGTGGGAAGTGAACCCACTCTAAGAGGTACAGCCCTAGGCAAGCTCATGGGCAGCCAGGTGACTGGAAGAATTGTTAATTTGAGACAATAACCTCATCACTGACTCAGAGCATGGTACTAATTGATAGACACAGGGATAATGTAAGTGGACGCATGGGCCTGTCTACTGCATTTTGGACAAGCATGTGTGCACATTTATTTGTTATATTTAAATCTTGCCTGTTTTCCTTTCATTAAGGCCTCCATAATTTCCCTCCTCCTATCAAGCTTATCCTCACAACCAGAACCCTGTGAGGTAGGTTGGGCTGAGAGCCTGTGACTGGCCCAAAGTCACCCTGTGACCTCCCTGGCTAAGTGGGGACTAGATCCCAGATCATCCAAGTCCCAGTCCCATGCTCTTAACTGCTACACCACTGCACCAAGTGCCCCAAAGCCACTTGTGTTGACCGAACAAGATTGTGTATGCAACAAAGAATACCTGGGCATAAAACACACATCAGGCATAAGAATATCAAAAACCTTGTCAGCAAACATTTTAACCACCATGGTATTTTTAAAGAAACAACTGCCTCAGGGTACTTGTTTGAATGACATTGAAATTGGGTCATGTGGAACGTGAGACTGAAGAACAAGAGAAAATAAAGAAATTTTGTTGTGGTTCCTTGTGATTTGTTTGGTGTTGCTTCAAAAGAATGGACTGCTTTCTGCAGATCTTCCTGTTTGTCTTTTCAAAGTCAAAGCCTCAGCTTATAGCATTTCATGAAGTGGGTTATAACCCGCTAAAGGTAAAGGTAAAGGTTTCCCCTTGACATAAGTCCAGTCATGCCTGACTCTAGGGGGCAGTGCTCATCTCCGTTTCCTAGCCGAGGGAGCCAGCGTTTGTCCGCAGACAGTCTCCGTGGTCATGTGGCCGGCATGACTAAACACTGAAGTGTAACCCACTAAAGGCATACTAATTTAATAAACTATTTGAACAACTACAAATTCTAATTTGAATCTGTAAACAGAAAGCTCACATGGTTATACTAGAATATAATCACAGCTGGTTAATGTGCTCTATCTTTGTTACTTGGCACTATATTATGGGTAATAAGCGTGAATTACAACTTAAAGAAGGAATCATAATATTTGCCATTTGGGCACCAGGCAGCTGTCATCATGGCAGAAATGAAGGTCAGCTTGCATAGTTTGGTATCTAGACTTCAAGGACTTGTCAAATGTAACATGATTTACACAATTATACAAACTTTTTATGGGCAGGCACAAGTACAGCTCAACATAACTCTAGGGTTGGAGTTCTGAGCTGAATGAAATGTACAACTGAAATGGCCAACCCAACAAATGCTTCCAATTATTCTTGGTCTTTTGAATATTACATGGATTATTTAGATCCACCTCCAGTTGATGCAAGAAAACTGAAAGCAAGCAGATGTAAGTACTACTGTTCTCTCCTTACTTACATGAATACAAGGGGGGTATAAGAACTTTAGGCATAGAATGAAATTCTATAGCTATATAATCTATAAAATGATTATAGACCATGCTGCTCAGAGACTAGGAAGGGCTGTCCAGGGAAACTGCAAATGCAACGAAGAATTGCCAGTTCAGCTCTCCACCATCCCCAGTGGCTTTATCAAGTTTGATCCAGCATCCAGTTTTCTTCACCAGGTGATTGAATGAAGGAACACAGTGCTTACAAATCTGCGTGAGAATTCTTCCTCAACAGCTTTTTCCTGTTAGTATCATCTTCCTACATGTGTGGACAGTTGTTCCTGCAGTCAGATAGTTTCTTTAGGTTAGAGTTTGTGGGTAGTGTGTCATTACAGTCAATTGTTAATGCCGGTACTAAATTTAGTGTGCAATCGTATGCATGGCAGCCAGAAGTTATAAGTTCCCTCCTCAATGGGGAAAGCTTTATTCTCAAGTATGCATACTGGATCCTAAGTACTGGTTTTAAAAATGTTTCCCCCATTGAGCTGGATCCAAACATTCTCTTGCAACATTTCTACTTAAATTTAAATCCTGTTGAAATTTAATGGATTTTACTTCCAGGTGAGTGGGCAAAGATTTGC